GGGGGGAAAGATAGGTCTTACTCGCTTAACTCAGGCAGACCTTGAACTCCTGAATTCTTCTGCCTCAAGCCACCTGAAAAGCTAGTCAGCAGGTACATGCCCCCATTCCTGGCTTTCCTTTCATTGTTATAAAGTATTTCTTATGGTTAATCGGCTTACAGGTGGAACCACAAGCTGTGTATTAGGCAGGTGTGTCCTTGATGACTCTGCCTAGGTTGTGAGAAGAGAAAGGATTCTCTTCTTTCTTAGTAATAACCTTCACTATGGTATCCATCTACCCAGGCTTTTGCACTGCTGTGTGTGTGTGTGTGTGCGTGCATGTGCATGCACATGTGTGCATGTTCTAGGACTTAAACTCAGGGACTCGCACTCTTGCTCTGCTTTTTCCATTCTCAACTGACACCATATGTGAGGTAACGTCGATCTCAATAAGTTGTGTTTAAGAAAGTAAGCCCCTAGAAGTCTCTTAATACTTATGGAGTAAAGAGTACCATAGAAAAGAAAGTCCATGGGGATGGGAATATGGCTCAGTGGTAGAGTGCTTGCCTAGCATGCATGAAGCCCTGGGTTGGATTCCTCAGTACCATATACACAGAAAAAATTGGAAGTGACGCTGTGGATCAAGTGGTAGAGCACTTTCTTTGAGCACAGAGAGGTTCAAGGACAGTGCCCAGGCCCTGAGTTCAAGCCCCAGGACTGGCCAAAAAAAAAAAAAGAAGAAGAAGAAGAAAGGAAGGAAGGAAGGAAAGAAGGAAAAGTCCTCGAGGATGGGCAAGAAATGAATTTCTTAGCTCAGCCACTGATTGGAGGGAAGGGCACTGATGAAGAATTGGCAGGTGCAAGTTGTCATATGGATCATCCTCTGCTAGCTTCCTGATTCTGAACAAGCTGCTTTAAGTCTTCCATGCTCCAAGGTTCTTCCTCAGAAATCTGGGGCTGTAGTAACAGCAGTAACAGCTTCCCTATGACGTCTCCTAAGCATCATACTCTTGGGGAAAAGATGAACCTTCTTTCTCTGATTTTTCCCAGGACACTTTGTGCTGTAGTTTTTTTCCCTAGTCCTGTACTCAGGCAGGTTTTCTTACTGTCTTTGCCTGTGGAAGACTTGTTGCTGATGGAATAGGTAATCCGTTACATCTCCCTAATGGTGAATGCTGTAGGTGTATATGGCTGCAGACTGCAGTAGGGAACCATGTCTAAGTGTGTTTATAATAAGAAAAAAAATGTCTTATAATATTACATGTTCCACCTGAAAACAAAGTCCTTGTGGTATTTACTGTCATTGAGGGTTTGGGTAAAACCCTTGTGATACTATGGTAGTTCAGGGGGCTGGGAAGGTGGCTCAGTGGTAGAGCGCTTGCCTTGCATGCGTGAGGCCCTGGGTTCGATTCCTCAGCACCACCACATAAGCAAAAAGAAAAAAGCCGGAAGTGGCACTGTGGCTCAAGTGGTAGAGCGCTGAAGAGCTGAGGGACAGCGCCCAGGCCCAGAGTTCAGGCTCCATGACCGGACCCAAAAAACAAAAACTATGGTAGTTCAAGAGGATGGAAGCATGGCTCAGGTGGTAGAGCACTAACTAGTGAGCAAAAGCGTCAGCTACTGAATTTGACTCCTGGTCTCAGACAGAGAGAGAAAGCAGTTAAAGTAGCTTACAACGTATGATTTTAGCTAGCCATAATGTATTTAATACTTTCTGAGCTTTGAGCTTTGTATATATGTGTGTACACATGCATACGCACATGTGCCAATATCATGTCTTAAACCTCAGGAACTCCCTCTCTTGCTCCGCTTGCTTGCTCATGGCTGGTGAGCCACACCTCCAGTCCAGCATTTTTCAGGTTCATTGGAGATAGAGTCTTTAGGACTTTTCTGCCTGCACTGGCTTTGAACCTCAATCCTCCAATGTCAGCCTTCTTTGTAGCCAGGATTAGAAGTACAGACTTGAGCCACTGGTGCCAACCAGCTATATGTGTTTTTGATCTACATTAATAATCTGTTTGAGTATAGACCAAGAAGTAATTCTAAGAACTTTAGAATTTGGAGAACTATGTGCTAATTACATCAGAAAAGGCATAATTTGGGGCAATAAACAGTATGACAGTGTAGGGTTTGCCAGAGCTCTACTAATTGCTGCCAGGTCACTCTGCAGGTGAGTGGTTTTCAACTTCTAGGGTAGATAAGGGATAAATTTGATTTAGTTGTGACTTCATTATCATCTTCTAGGGAAGATAAGGTGTAAATTTGATTTAGTTCTGACTTCATTATCATGGTTAGAATGAGCTGTGAGAGTTTCTTTTAGGACTTGAGTAGGAAGGGCTGAAAACAGCAAGATATTTGAAGTGTTTTGTTTCTAATCAAGTCTCAGTTGAAGTAATTATTTCTTTTACTGATGTTGCTTATCTCCTTGCGGACATATTCATCTAAAACTATTCATTTTCAGTTTTTAAGCCTTTTATGTAGTGTCTTTAACTAATATCTGTCAATATTCTCAATCTTGTAGCTTCAAGCCCAAATGCCAGCCTGATTTCCACTTCACCCACAATTGCCAATGTTCCAGCAGCAGCAGTTGCCAGCATCTCAAACCAGGTATTCAGTTCATCCTGTTTGGTATGGTTCATCTGGCTTCTTGTCCATCTGAGAAGCAACCAGGAATAATATGGAACATGAAGGCTGCTCTCAGTACTAGGACCTCAGATAGCTTCTTTGGCAGCCACTCCGTTTCTTCGTTCTCTGCTAAGCCTACTTACCCCTATCTGCCACTTGCCTACTATGTTTACCTCCTGTGTTCACTCTATGAACGGTAAGGAGGTAGTCTTTGTTTTGTTCACTTACAGAGCTCAGAAAAACATCAGGCTCTTTCATAGACCACTCTATAAACATTCATGGAATAAGTAAATATTACTTTTTTTATTGTGAACATACTGTACACAGGGGTTACAATTACATGGGCAAGACAATGAGTACAATTCTTATCAAGCATTGTAGCCTTCTCCTTGGTTTCCCCTTCCCATCCATTCCCATCCCTCCCCACCCCACTCCCACCCCACCCCCCGTGTGCCACCTCCCCCCCCAATCCTCCCCGCCCTAAATATTACTTCTACTTTAAATCCATTCATTCCTATGGGATTTCTTTTTTTTTGTTTTGTTTTTTGTCTTTTGTTTTTTTGCTTGGTTGTGGGACTTGAACTCTGGGCCTGGGCACTGTCCTTCAGCTCTTCAGCTCAAGGCTAGCACTCTACCACTTGAGCCACAGCACCACTTCCAGTTTTTCTAGTGGTTTATTGGAGATAAGAGTCTTACGGACTTTCCTGTCCAGGCTGGCTTTGAACTGTGATCCTCAGATCTCAGCCTCCTGAGTAACTAGGATTACAGGCGTGAGCCACCAGTGCCCAGCTCCTGTGTGATTTCTCTGCGGTCTGTTTTTGGTGGTGGTGGTGAGGTGGTTTGGAAGTTTGAACTGAGGACCTTGCACTTGTGAGGCAGTGTCCTTCCCACTTGAGTTGTGGTTACACGTATATAGTCTGGTCCTGATCACTGCTCTCTTAACTCTGTGCTATTTACATAAGTTCAACATAACCTAAAATCAGACTTCTTTTTTTTGGTGCCAGTATTAGGGCTTGAATTCTGGGCCTGGGCGCTGTCCCTCAGCTCTTCAGCTCAAGGCTAGCACTCTACCACTTGAGCCACAGCACCACTTCCAGCTTTTTTTCTTTTTGC